GCCCCATCCAGACCTGCCCATCCAAACCCCATGTGCAACCATAGAGGTGTACGACACAGTCATCCCTGACACAGCCCCGGCATCGCCCCCGCACCTGCCCCCAGGAAGGTAGAGGGGCTGTGGAGGTTGTATAGGTCCAGCTCCCACCCTCTCCCTTCTCTTACAGCTGTGTCTCCCGCCGCCGCTGGGTGCTGGGCTCTATGATGGACTCCTCTTCTTCCTGCTGGAGCTCCTGGCCCAGGTACTTCCCTCCTCTGCCTGGGCCAGGGTGGATGGGATCAAACCAGGCCGCTCATGACCAGCAGGGTCTTTTTGGATAGCCTCCCACACTGCCCTGCTTCTGGGTCCCTGGTTAGAGCCAATAGTTCGCGTGGGGCAGGGGGATTGGTTACTGGGGTCCACACCCAGCCGCAGCCAGGGCTCAAAGGTGCTGGGGGGTCCCAGAGAAAAGGCATCTCTGTCATGACGTGGCTCGGAGGAGTCTGAGCCCTGATCTGGACCTGGCATCCGGGTCTCCCCCTGCCAGGAGGAGGGGTCGGGTGCGTGGGGCTTTGCCGGCTCGGAGCTATGGGACATCATGTGGCACCGGGTTGCTGCGGCCCTTGGCTTGGCCCGTGGAGAGCCTGAGATGGAGAGTGAGATGCCTCGGCCTGGCCAGCCCACCCCAGAGCCAGACTGGAACCTCATCTCCCCTCAAGGTAGGTGGCCAGGCCTCTGGGACCCTCCATGATCCCTGCCGACCAGTTGTGGCCTGGACCAGGGCTCCAGCTCTTCTTGCCGGGGAGTGGGGCTCACAGTCTCCACGGGTCTGCTCTGAGCTCGGAGAGGCTGGATGAGCCTCAGCTTCGGCTCCTAGCAGACCTTTGTGGATGGGTCTGGGCAACTGGGAGTTGTGCTCCAGTTGGCTTGAGGGTTTGGCTCCGGAGAGGGCAGTTCCCTGGGGTCTGGAGGCCTCCAGCTTGTGCCTGTGCCCGGGCCTTGACAGGAGCTGGGGGAAGTGGGGAGCAGGCATGACAGCTCCCTGCTTGCCACAGACCCTGCATATGCCCCTGGGCCTGTCACTGACACTCTGGGCTGAAGCTCCTGACCGGGCCGTGGGGCTTTGGCTGCAGGCTCCTGTCGCAGGATCCCACCATGTGCCCCATGCTGTCTGCCCCAGTGCCTTGCGCCCTGCACCCTCCCCTCTGGGGCCAGCTCAGCCTACTGCCGGCGCCTCAGCCCCATACAAATCCTGCCAACTCCCCCAGGGCTTTGGGGGCTTCTGTGCAGCCCACCGTACTTGCTTGCAGGACGTGGAAAGCTAGCGTGCCCCTGGCCATGCTGGGAGGAGGATTTCTGAGCCACTTGTAGGGCAGGTTCAGCATGCCCCAGCCCTTGGGCTATGGACCCAGGTGGAGTCTAGTATGGGAGCCCATGACTGTGACCCTGGCTTGCAGAGCTGCCTCTAGCTGATGCTGCTCTGATATGGTAGACAGAGATGCCTGAGACACCCCTCCCTCCCCCTCCATACACATCTGTACTGCTGGGGGGGCTGGCATCTGCTGTGGGAGAAATCATAAAAGTCACAGACAAGTGGGGCTGGCAGGGAGCTGCAGGGTCATGTCCAGCCCGAGGCAGGATCAGCCCTGTCCAAACCCACCCAGACCACAACCCCATGTGCAATCTCAGAGCTGCACAACAGATACCCCTGACACAACCCTGAGCATTGCCCCTGCCCCCAGAGTACAGGGGGCCATGGCCCAACGTCCTGCTGCTGCCAGGGGGGTTGGTGGGTGCTGGAGAGAGCCCAGGCACAGGCCTTGCCCCTGCTGCAGAGGGAGGGGAACCCCCGCAAGCCCAGCCAACCTGAGCGGGGGGCAGATCCTTCCCTGCCCCTCCCCAAGGCAGCATGAGTGGGGGCAAGAGCCTTCAGCTGGGATCCTGCACGGCTGAGTCCCAGCAGGTTCATTGGCACAGCCTGGGGTCAGCCCCAGCTTGGGCTGCAGCCAGCACCCAACGCCTCTGGGGTCGGGGCTTCAACCCCCTGACACATGGAGCTGAACGGTGGGGGGGCAGCTCAGTGCAATGGCAGCCGACTGCCTGGTCTCAGAGCTAGCAACTCCCTGGTCGATTTGCTGGAATCGCAGTGGCCACGGTGGGGCTGGGGCTGGGGCTGGGGCTGGCACGGAGTCAGGGCCCAGGTGGTGCTAGCCAGCCCTCCCTGCCAACCCTTGTGCCTGCAGGGACCCTGCTGTTCGTCAACCTGGCGCTCCTCGTCTTCACCCGGGAGCCTCACCTCTGCCTTGGGCAGCTGGCCCAGGCCAGCAGCCTTACCCTGGCCACCCTGAGCAAGCTGCTGTCTCCCGACTTCTTGCTTCGCTTGACCCAGATGTGAGTTGGGCACAGGGGTGGCCAGGGCAGGGTAGGGCACCAGTGGCATTCAAGGGCACTGGAACATGCCTGGTGCAGCTGACGGTGCCCCACTGCTGGAGCTGGACACCTTGCGGGCCCCTGTGAACCTCTCCCACCCCAGCGTTGCCTCTGTGCTAAGCTGTGTGCTCTGTCATGGCTGCAGGCAGGCAGGTGAGGACGGGGACCGTGGGCTGGTTGCTGCTGTAGTGCTCCAGACTTGCCAGCTGTTGTGTTTCCCCTTCGCCTTGGAGGTGGATGAGGAAACCCTGGCGCGGGTAGTGGAGGCCGCAAGCGAGGCTGAGATCCCTGCCCATCTGCTGCAGGTACCTGGGCCCCCCTTCCCCTCTCCCCACTGCCCTGTGCTCTTTCCTTCTGTTTTCCAGGTGGGACCCTGGGTTGCCTCCTTCCCTTCTCATTTCCTACCTGGAGTGCCTGGTGCCCACATCTGGCTGTGCCCACACTGCAGGCTTCTGCCGAGGCACAGTGGGGCATGTGGGCAAAGCCAGCAAGGCCGGGGCAGAACTGGTTTCTCCCTGCAGCTCCATAAGGAGAGAGAAGAGCTGGAGAAGGTGCAGAGCAGGGCAGCAAGGAGGCTGGGGGCTGCGGAGGGGTTTCCCTAGGAGCAGAGACTGAGGCCAGGCCTAGGAGAGACGCGGGGGGGGGACAGGAGCAGGGTTTGCGCCGCACTGAACGGCGAAGAGAAAGTCCCCGGGGATTTATTCCTGCCTGTCTCTGCCCAGACAGAGCGGGGGTCCTGACATGGGACGAGCAGGCCGGCAGCTGCCACCTAAGCCCAGGCCGTCCTGTCCGCCCGTGGGGCATTCAAGGGGGTACTTGTGGCCCCAGATGTGACGGAGCTGAGTGCAGCCAGATCCAGCAGGGAATGGACGTGCAGGGAGGGAAAGGGGCACGGGGAGCGCTGGGGCAGGGAGCGAGGGGCACGGCCTGTGTGCCAGCCCTGCCGGGACCCTCCATGCTGGAGGAACAGGGGAAAGCCCCGCTCGGCCCCAGGCATTCACCTTCCAGCTCCACTCTGCCCCAGGACACGGGAGACAGGGCAGGACAGACCTGAGCCAAACCCATGGCACCCCTGGATATTTGCTTTGTGGTGAGAGGGGTTGATCTTGCTAGACCAGTGGCGGTTGAGATGTCCCCGTGCCAGGAGCAGGAGCCAGTCCAGCCCTACCCAGTGGCTCCAGGACAGCAGGTGTGGGGTGGCCCTACCACAGCCCTGCTGAGCTGGTGCCCTGCTCTCTGTCCCTGCCAGGCTTGCTGCCACCACCTGCCCCTGCCAGCCACGGAGCTGCCACTGAGCCTCCTCTGCCACCTGGCCCTGCGCGATGAGCGGGCAGTGGGGCAGTTTGTGGCCATGGCAGTGGAGCCGGCTGTCGCCTTCCTGTCAGCCATCTTGCTCGGCACCCATGCCCAGCCCACACACCAGCTGCTGGCCCTACTGGCCCAGGTGGCGCGGGCCAGTCCTGCACACCTGCCTTTCCTCCACGACCTGCTGGGTGGCTCCGACGGCACTGGCCAGGTCCTGAGCCGCCTGCTGGGCCACCCAGAGCCCCTGGTGCGTGCCGGCTCCTGCAGCCTTGTGGGCAACCTGCTGCGGCACAAGTCGGGGCTCCCCGGGGGCCAGGCCGGGCCGCTGGAACGGCTGCTGGAGCTCCTGGGTGACCCTGATGGGGCTGTGCGCAGGGCGGCTAGCTTCGCTGTGGGCAACGCGGCCTACCAGGCTGGCGGGCTGGTGCAGGGCTTGGCCCAGGCTGTGCCCTGCATGGTGCGGCTGCTGGGAGACCCCCAGGCCAGGACCCGCAGCAACGCTGCCTCGGCCCTGGGCAACCTGGGGCGCAACTCAGCCAAGCTGGCAGACGTGCTCATCCAGAACAAGGTCCCCCGACTCCTGCTGCACCGTGCCTGCCATGACTCCCAGCCCATGGTGAGAGAAGCTGCCCTCATCGCCCTGCGGGCCCTCAGCCGCCAGCCTGGGATACGCCAGGTACTGCCCATGGCCTCCGCGTCTCCCTCTGCCCCATCTGCTGCTCTGCTTTCTGCTCCCTGCCTGGTCTCCCTACCAAAGCAGCTGCTCTGCTTTCTGCTCCCTGTCTGATCCCCTGCTCCGCCTTCTGCTCCCTGCCCCATGGTTCTCCCTGTCCTCTCTTCCATCTATTACATGCCACACACAGGCTGCCTGCACCACTCTTGGTACCGGTGCAGCAGGGTGCGCACTCTTGCAGGTCACCTAGCTCAGGGGCTGGTAACCTCCAGTCCATGGCCTGGATTTGGCCTGTGAAGAGACAGGATTAGGCCCTGTGGTGGGTCAGTGGCACAGCAGGGAAATGTCCCTAATCCCCCCAGCTGCGTCCAGCTCCATGCCAGGCCTGTTCTCCCCCCACAGCTGCAGCCTG